GGGGGGGGGGGGGTCGACAGCGTCGTTGAGCTGGTGTACGGCCTCCGTGAAGTCGCGCGCAGACACACGTGGGAGGGCGAGCGGGGTGAGCAGGTGCAGGTCATATGTGGGGTGGGGGGGCGAGAGCGCCTCCACCGACGGGACAGCCAATGCCGGTCCCACATAGATGTCATCCGCCTTCTGTGTCCGCTCGGCGAGGCGAGGCGCAGTCCTTGCTTGAGGTGGTCGGCGGCCGCCTTCTCACTCGCCAATTGGAGTCTCACGCCGTTGTGGAGCTGGAGGCCGTAGCCCATTTCCATGCGGGTGTGCATCTCGGTGGCCAGGTCGCCATTGGAGAAGTGAATGATGACGTCCCGCGAGCGGGACCCCACCGCGAAACACGCGAAGCTGCGCGTGTCGAATGGGGGGAGGGGGGGGGGGGCAGCAGACGCGAGAACGCCGTAGGTGTACTGCTGGAGCTGATGAGAGTTGAGGGGGGGCATGCCGGGCTGCAGCACGTTCTTGATGCGAAGCCTTCCTTGGACGGCCTTGCGCTCGACGGCATCCAGGCGGGTGTCCTGGTGGATGGCCACTTTGGTGAGGTTAACGACCGCGTGAGTGACGCCACCCAACAGCTGCTCATGCTTGTGGCCGAGATGGGTGACGGTGTCATCGAGGCTGCGCATGGAGTCGGCCGTCGTCTCCTGGACGTCTGCCACGGCCTCGGGGACGATGTCGGCAGTCGCTCGCATGGCCATGTCGTAGCTGAACGCTGCAGCCGCCACGCCGACCTTGATGAAGTCATCGAGGTGTGGAGAAGTGCTCGAAACTCCAAATTGCATCACCAGCTGCTTGATGGCGGTCTCCATTCCCGCCATCTTCTGCCCGTCAGCTAGAAGGTCTGCAGCCATCTGGTGGGCGAGGATGCGCTGCCTCAGTGCTGCTCGACGGGTGGTGGGGTCATCATGAGAGACAGCCATGGGGGAGGCTGCAGGGGGCGAGGTGGAGTCCATGACGGGTGAGGGGGAGGTGAGTGAGACCGCGATGGGCATCAACCTGGAGGTACGGCGGGATAGCCGAGTGAGGAGGGCAGAGAGGCTCTTTCGGGGGTCCAAGTCTCACAGCCGATGGTTTTGCTCAGTGCGGCACCAGAAACAGCCCGAGCAGACAGCGAGTATCGGCACACCTGATGCAGACAGCGAGTATCGGCACACCTGGTAGACAGATCTGAGCTGATTGTACGAACAGCATGTCTTGGATCAGTGGGCGCTCGACGTCGAGCTCTCTGACTAGCCTCTGGGTGTCGTGCCTATGTCTGGCTGTCATTCTCGTATATCTGCAACCGGTGTCGACAGCGATTTTTCTGACCATCATAGGGTGGCACGTGCGTGTCGAGTGGGTGGGTGGGTGGGATGGGGAGACAGGCCGTGTGCATGCTTCTGTGCATGTGCATGCTGCTAGTTTAGTGCGCCTGGACAGGATCCCCTCGGGGTTACAGACACGAGTCTCGTTAAACACAATAACCAACCGCTCGTCCAGCACGCAACACGCAACAGCACGCAACAACACGCAACACGGCAGATCTACAATGGCGCTGCGAGAGGCGCGAACACATGTGGCAGACACGCAACACCGCACGCACGTCACCCGGCAGACGGCCGGTGTGGGGCGGCCACTGGGCTTTTGAAAGGCCCCGGTGACGTGCGCATTGCGCTACGGCTCTACACGTACATGGCAGGCGGGCTTGGAGCCTCCCCCCAGGACCCGAAGAGCGGGGTTTTGTGTGGCCCTTCGACCCCACGAAGCGCGGTTTGTTCGTGGAGGGCGGGGCGCTCTTCAATGACGCCGTAGAGATCCGGGGCTTCCTTCAAGGCGAGCGAAGCTTTCTGGATATCTCCGGCAGCGTGCGGATTATAAGGCTGGGAGAGCGTTTTGGCAACCTCTTTGTCGACGGTGGCATCCTCAGCAGCTCAGTCGTCACCGACTCGCTGTTTGTATTTCAGGCGGACAACCAGCTTCACCAAGTGTGTGAGCCAGCGGGGAGCTGCGCCCGATCCGAAGGCTGTCGGCCGAGGAGAATCCAGCGATTGGTGACGAGGAGCAGTCGGCTGTCCTGGAGGCCTTCAAGCAGCTGCCCATCAAGACCGTCAAGACCACCACAGCCAACAGGAATGCGATAGCGACAGAGCAGCAGCACAGCCCAATGGCCAGCCGTGATCATCAGCAGCGTCAGGGGCAGCTGCTTTTGGCGGCTGAGGACGTCGAACGGCTCTTCCCGCAGGCCGTCAAGACCATGTCGCGGCCCGCACACGACAAGGGACAAGAGAAAGAGAGCAACAAGGGCCACAAAGGGAAGAAGGGCGGCGAACAGACAGCACAGGCCAGCAAGACTGGCTATGTGGATGAAGAGGTAGAGAAATAGAAACTTCATTTTGTCAGGCACCATCTGCTGCACAGCGCTGTGAATAGACATACCATCAGTTGACACAGTATCTCCCATGAGCGATTCTTCAGTGCACAGTCTGTGTAATTCGTTACAGCTCACTTACAGGATGAGGGGTCCGATGTGAGGGTTTAGTGTGGCAGATTGCAGCAGCCGCAGGGTGAACATCAGCGCCACCACAGCCAATATGTCGGACGACCAATCTGAAGACCACTCCGAGAAGTGCACCATCAAGAAGAATACCAGCGCCAACGACGTCGAGAAATACCACAAGTTCGTGTAGGCAAGAGAATCATCCATGATAAACTTCAAAAGAAGTCATTCCGATGCATTCGCCTCAGTACTGTCCTCTCTGGAAGGCTCTCCGTCTTACCAGGAGTCGCTGAAGTATGACCACTTCAGCCGAACGATCTGCAGAGGACAAATTGCCTCCGTCTCGCATTCGAATCATCCCAGTAGATGATATCCGTCTCACCTGGTAGATTTTTTGAAGGATCAGCCCACCTCCCAGAGCGGCAGGGAGCCACAACCACATACCGTTGGAGGGATTCCTGTGCCGTTGGCCTTCGATGCGTCGACATGCAGCAAAACGACGATGATCCTAAATAATGGGGATCGAAGAGCTAAGTACAATTAACTAGTCCCGTGCTGCAGGAGGGCTTTGCTTTGTCTGAGCCCAAAGCGCTTTATCTGAGCTCACAGCAGCAGCGTAGTAATGCTGCGGCTGATAAAGGCAGTGCGAGGCGATACCATACGCCAGGATCATACTTCTTGCAATGCTTTTCACGGCAGCCAGGCGAGACCAGGCTGTTGGGATAGTCTGAAGAGCGTTGCTGTGAAGATTGACATGCTCCACACTAAAACCAGGCAAGGTTAGACGTGCCCCAAGGCACTCGAATTTGTCTCACATCTCTTTATTTGCGTCTCGGGAAGGGATCCATTGCAACCGAAGACTTCGATGCGATTGTAGTTGAGGTCTAGCCATCTGAGTGACGCGAGGGGCTGCAAAGACGGCAGCAAACACATTCATCACATACAGGCACTCCACATCGACACGTGCATGCGCAGGGGTGCGCACAGAAGGATTCATTATATATACACACTCCACGTCCAAACGTGCATGCGCAGGTGTGCGCACAGAGACATTCATCACATACACACACTTCACATCGACACGTGCATGCGCAGGGGTGCGCACAGAGACACTCATCACATACACACGCTTCACATCGACACGTGCATGCGCAGGGGTGCGCACAGAGACATTCATCATACACACTGTCAGATCCAATGTGAGTGAGAGAATATCCGTCACTGAGCCACATACACAATGTCCATGAGTCCCACACATCACAGACCACAGTGCATGCAGTGAAGCGTACCTGAGCCACATACACAATGTCCATGAGTCCCACACATCACAGACCACAGTGCATGCAGCTGGTACACTGTACACATAACGGTCATATCCTGGCCAATCCTGTCACCCCCTCTCGCCTCAGTGGCACCAAAAAGGACAGATGGGCACTGAGGCGGACCTGCCTTGCATCTATCCACCCATAATAGACGCTCTCAGCAAAAGAAAACTCCTTCTATCCAGCACCTTAGTGAAAATGTCGGCTACATTCTCCTTGCTCGGCACGTATCTAAGGTCTATCTCACGCGACACCACATAATCACGTACATAGTGAAGTGTGCGCTCGAAATGCCTCGTGCGCTTCTTCGTACCCTCATCTGAGCCGACATCTAAGGCAGCTGTGTTGTCACCATACAGAGAGAGACGGCCACACGAAATGAGCAAACCAACCCATTCCTCCAACACAGACTTCACATACATAAGTGCCTTGCTGCATTGCGCCATGGCATCGTATTCCGACTCAGATGTACCCTGTGCAGCAGTGTGCTGGACGCGGCTCCGCCACATGACAGGGCCGCCACCCATGAACACCACATAACCATCAGTCGACTTTGCTCCTGGCTGGTCAGTCAGTGACGCATCAGCATAGCCATCCAGATTGAAAAGAACCATACGCATGTCATCCACATCCATCGTGTCCCATTCACCGCCAGAAAAAGTGATGCCTAGCTCCCGTGTCCCCTTGATGTAACGCAACACATGATGACACGCATGTACATGAACAGGTGTGGGTGCATCCAACACACGAGACAACACGAAACACGCATAGGACAGATCAGGTCTACATGTAGACGCAGCGTACTGCAGGTGGCCGACTACTAATCTATATGGGAAGTCAGCTATTTTCGCTAGCTCCCTCTCTGAATACTGATCACTACGCAAATTGAAGTTGGGGCCGATAGGTAAAGGGCAATCGGCTGGCGAACAGTCAGTCATATTGAACTTGGCTGACACAGCATCCATGTATTTAGCCAGATGAAGTGTGAGCTGACCATTCTGTCTATCTCGACTGACTGACACACCCAAAACGTACTTACATCACCCAGATCCTCGACTACAAATCGTTCATTCAGTCTGTCTTGCAGCCACGCATATCCCTCACTCGTCGATGCAACTACCATATCATCTACATAGCGTGCGAGCAAAATGCCGAGAGACTCCTGGTAATACAGACACGTCTCACTGCGAACAGATAGAAAGCCCAGCTCACACAAATACGAATCGATATGTACGTGCCATGCACGAGGTGCACCGGGCAGACCATATAAAGCCCGCTGCAGCTCCATCACACATCCATCCACACGATAGCCATCAGGAAACTCACACCACACAGGCTCATGCAAAGGAGAGTAAAGAAAAGCCGTCTCGACATCCATGTGCTTCAGGTCAAGGTCCATCGCATTGGCTGTGCTGGCCACAACACGAAATGCATCAAAGTTGAGTGTGGGTGAGAATGTCGGGCCTCTCTCCTGCCATGGCTGCTCAAAACCACGCACCACAATCCTAGCCTTAAACTTGTGTGCCCGTACAGCAAACACCCATTTGATAGACAGGACCTGACCTCTGGCTGAGCTACGAGACACTGTCTTGTACACTTCCTTTGCACGCACACTATTCATCTCACGATCCATTGCCTCCTCCCATCTATGTCTCAGTGGACTCTTCATTGCCTGCGCATATGTCTTGGGCTCGCCCAAAAGCCGGGCGTGCGCCAAGTCACTCCTCAACTCCTCATCAATCACAGCAGGCATGGCAATCAGACACATCAGTGAGTGGATGCACACTCATTCCATGCAGCACACAATACACCACAATACAACACACCACATCACACACACACACATGCACACTCATGCACCGATCCCTCTGTCTCCCCCTCTATGGCTACGCCCGCTCCCGCACCATCGCCATATCTGTTCTGCGGCTGCTTCCCCAGCCGCATGCGGACGCGGTCGTTGAGCTGCTCCTGCCACTCACGCTGAGCATGCTGTCTGCGGAGGATGGTGTGGCCGTGCAGCTCTGGGGCCCTCTTGCGGATGTAATCCTCCAAGGTGGGCATCTTGTCCTCCTCCTCTGTCCTGACGACGTTGACCTGCCGATGGGGGCACTTGCCGAAGTCGTAGCCCTCACTGTCGTCACGCTGGGGAGGCCGCACCTTCTCCCGCAGTCCCCGCCGTCTGCCCCCTCTGTCCTGCTGTTCGTCCTGCCCGTCTTGTTGCTGTGGGGGCTGCTCTTGTGGTGGTGCCTGCACGACCGCAGGTGGTGGGGAAGGGGGGGTGAGGGTGGGTGGGGCTGCTGCTGGTCTCCTTGTTGCTGCTGTGTGGGTGGGA